CTCTCTCTCTCTCTCTCTCTCTCTCTCTCTCTCTCTCTCTCTTCTCACCGACGATACCCGTTCATCTTTACTTCGTACATTGAGAAAAGAACTTAGTGATAAGTACTATATATATAAGTAAAATTTGATTAACACAAGCCGAATATTTGACTACAGCTAAATAATTTAATGTTCCTGTATTAAATTTGTAATAAACGGAACTACAGTACTGTACGTACACTATACGAAATTAAATTATTTGATTCAATTATTTGAATCAAATATTTGGCCGGTATTAACAAAATTTTGGTTATTAATTTTAGTTTACTTTGCTTATTATCGCAAGTCCGTTTTTCAGTGTACGACGAACATCCGCCGCAAAACACCGCGGAATATCGCCCGATCGCTTCCGCCAGGCTTCTTTTTAACGAATGTTGAATTAACGAGCCATTCATTTTTAACGGGCTCGTCGGGAACACAGGGAGAGACCTAACCTGGACTGTCGGCGCGCGGAACGGATGTCGATGTGAAATAAGAGTAATCGCGTCGTTTAAAGGCCGCTCAGGAACGGCGTCCCACTCCTTCCCTTTGCCTTCCCCTTTATCTCTCCCTCGTACGCGCGTATTCCGCGGTTATTCGCTTATCAAATTTGTCCTTCATAAAGTTTACCGTGCTGTCGCCTCAAGCTGCGCGGAAAAAGTTTCACACAGTACTTATTGATTTATCAAATTCTCCCGCGCGACCCGCGCCGCCGAATAACAGTAATAACGCTAATGGACGTTCGCGTTATTATTATGGAAATCAGTGTCGTGGGGGGGGAGACGGAGGGAGACGGCGAGCATCTTCTGTCGTTCAACGGAATCGCCGTATCCGCCGTCGCCGCCCACTTGTTTTCCCGGGGTATTAAGTAATATCGAGCGTCGTTAGACTTGCCACGCGAAATGATGTTCACCGTTAGCGCTCGCGCGCTCTAACGAGCCGTAGGAAACCAGCTTTCCTGTTCGCTCCATTTATGCGATATAATATATCTAATATTCTTAGAAAGTTTTTTTTTTTTTTTTAATATATATGACTGCATAATTGCCCGATGGAGTAATCGTGACCGGCGAAACCATCCCTGCGACAACTGCTGCTGCGATATTAGCGGTGGTGTTGCTACTACGATTTTTTCGTTAGAACGAAAAACACAGCCGGTCTCAAAAGTGACTATAATTTTAGCGGGATTAATAATTTTTTTTCTTTCTCCGCGGACGGTGATCGGAATTCTCCCGCGGAAAAAAAGAGAGAGAAATAGAACGGAGAGAGAGAGAGAGCCCTTTCGCGGCTGTCGACAAATTCGTTTTGAAGCGAACATTTATTCGTCGGCGTGAAGCGAAAACGTTATTACCTCGCGTAATATTTTAATACGAGTCATTAACGGTTTTTCCCTCGTATTTTGTCGTCGGGCGACGATTTTCTGACGATGTTAGTCACTTTAATTACTTTTCGCCGTTTCCGATGTTTTTTTTTTTTATTCGTCTCTTTTCTCTCTCCACCATCGCCACCACCACCACCACATACAGTGATATCCGCGCGGATATCCGCTGGAATTTTTGAACCGTCCGACCGGGGAATATTTTCCCTCCCGGTCGGACGGTTTTAATCTTCATACGTCCGCCGAAAACGAGTAGATCGATCTCGACTTATGTAAATTCGCGTGACAAACGTCGCAGATGGAACAAGGGGCAAAGCGAAAAACTCAATAACGCCGGCAGATGCATAATGGATTCCACGTTGAACTTGGGACGAGAGACGTTTTTGTAACGGGGGAGAGAGAGAGAGAGAGAGAGAGAGAGAGAGAGAGAGAGAGAGGAGAGAAAGAGCGAGAGATTCAAATGGGAGACTAATAGAATAATCCACGGTCTAACGCCTAACGGTCGATAGTAAAAATAGGATAAAGTCTTGTTCTTTATTTAATTTCGTGCTGGCCCTGACGCGGAGAGACGAAAGGAAAAGAGAGGGGGGGGGGGAATCTGATTGCGATTTAAATTCAGATTTCCCAAGTTAATTCTATTTTATTCGGAATTAATAAGTAATCCGCACGGAATTGGTAATTCCGATTGTGTTATACACGGCGATGCTCTGTCTTCCTCTGCTCTCTCTCTCTCTCTCTCTCTCTCTCTCTCTCTCTCTCTCCCTCTTTTTTCCTCTCTTTCTCGTGTACATATGAAACGAATAAATAATAGTCCACCGCCATCGTGGTGGCGGTGATGGTGATGGTATCGGTCGAATAAAAGTCCACGTATCGTCTCGTGTCGACTGAAAATAACTAGCGCCGATGATCAATCAATCGTTTGCCCCGGGTAAACATTTGGAAAGAGAGGGAGAGAGAGCACCGGGCTGTAATAGGAATAGCACTCGATCGATCTTGTTGCTGCTGGAACGATTCGGAGGTTATAAATATCCACCCGATACTCTGGCGGCGGCGGGCGGAAAAGTCGGGGGAAATAAAACTATGTTGCAGTCGCGAGTGCATCGTTTTATTTACCGGCGTCACGCGTGCACGCAACACACAAACGCACATACTCGCGAGCGCATAATAGTAATGTATTTAATATGACGCGACAATTCGCGCGTATACGTGTGTTTTACCCGCCGAATACTTATATATTGTATTTTTTCCATGGATTTTTCCCCACTTTTAGGATTATTGATGGTGCTGCTTTATTTCTCCCTTTTCTCGGCGTATATTCCCCCTTGATATCTCCCTGCACGCTTTGTTCATTAATTTATTTAATCGCTCGATGTAAAACGCAATCCACATTTCGAGCGATAATAACCCCCGCGCGCTCTCGTTGTCGCCGTTGATCTCCGAATTGTTTGCGAACCCTGTGAGAGAGCCTTGTTTTGTTTCATTGCGTTTCATTCATTTCTCCTCTGTCACCGCGGACGGAGAGAGAGGTCGAATTTGTCGCGCGAGACGCAATCACACGCGGAAGAGGGAAGAGAGAGGGAGAGAGGGAGGGATAGAAAAAAAGAGGGGAGCAAACAAACGAAAATTAAAACTCGCCGCACACGCGTATCGCCGGGAGCGTTTATCGTAACGTCGCATCGAAACGTTGCAATTGTCATGCCGCGGCATTTTTAGCCGGTAACGAGCGAGGGCGATTAGAATAAGCGGCGGTGTAAATAGCCGTAATTGGACTGGCGGCGGCGGGCTTATTAAAAGCATATCGACGGTTAAAATAGCGGTATAACTCGATAACGATCGCGATTCGCGAAGTAATGCAGATTAATTTATCCGGGGTTCAAGCTTTCATGCTCGTTAGCATATGTTCCGTAAGCTTAACGATCGCCGCGAGTTTTACGACTTGTGTGCGCGCGCGCGCGCGCGCGTCGCTAGGTTGAATTGCTAATTCGACCGTGGCGCGCATGTTGCGTGCGGCGTTGATAAATATTTCCAACATTTCAAGACTGTGCGCGCACGCAACAGCACACACGTCCGAAGTCTGAAAAGTAGAGTTTCTTCGATTTTGCCCGTTTATTGCCTCGACGGAAAAGTGTATGTACTTTTAATTGGCTCGTTTTCATCCGCTCTGTCTGGCCGCCGAGCGGCTGAAAATGCGCCTTCGATGAGAGGGGACGCGCCTTGAATAAATTGTGTGTGAAACACGAACCGGCTGCCGTGGATAAGTTGAAAGCTACCGAGCGGATTTTCATGACGATACACATACGATGATTGCGAGTGCGGAGCGGCTCCGCAAATTATTCCAGCGCGCGCTAAACTTTCATATTGAATTTTACATCGCACATCGCGTAATGTGTGTGTGTGTGTGTGTGTGTAATTATACTAATTACACACTAAGCCGTTTTAAAAGTCCACCGTCCTCTTTAAACTGCAAATGCTGCGAGCCATTTTGACTTATCGGGCGACGTTTTCCCGCGGCCTTTGACCGAGGCTCGTTTAACCATCTTTTACAATTTGCTGTGCGCATAAAACGAATTCGTTTGCAATTGCGTTCCGACGCTGAAGCTCTTCTCCTTACTCTCGCGACGCGCTGTGCCGCGCGATCTGAAGGTTCGCGACTGAGACTCTCTTGCTCTTTTTCCCTTTCTCCCCCTCATTTTTACACCCTGCATAATAATGCGCCGCGACATAATGCGATATAATAATGCATCGCGGCTTGACTCGCACGTGAGATAAAGCTGACGTGGAATGATATTAAAGCTCTAAATTCCGGGAGAGAAAAACGTGCGCGCGTTACAGCGGAATAATTCATTTCGCTGCGCGGACGAGCGTGATTAATTATAATTTCGCTAATAGATAATCTCTCATGAGGAAGTTCCCCCTCTCTCCCCTCGAGCTATCGTCGCATGCTTCGACGACGGTTTCGTCGTAAATACGAGCCACGACGATCGGCGGAAATTATAAAGGAGCTCCGCACGCTATGTACGTATACACACGCGAGCGCGCATATTTCGCTCGCTCGCTTCGTTTGCATTCGTGACAAAACGCGCGGCAAGCGCGTGCGATGCAAACGTGAATGTAAATTCCGTAAACTCGAACGAACGAATGTTTAAACGTACGTACGTACCCGGGGGGAATTTTCTGCCGGATATTAGCATTCGTAAACTGAAAAAGGACGCGCCGTACCAGCTCCGCCAGGATATACTCGTATTGTAGCGAAATGCCCGAAGTATGGGAAACTATCT